AATACATTTAAACTATTTAATTAAATTTTTGTGTGAAATGATGTTAAGTTTTGTTTTAAACGTAAAAGAAATGCATTTTGACCATCATTATAAGTTTAAAAGCGGATAATTGAGTCATTTCAAGATATTGATAAGATGGCTGTTTTTTTCAAGAAGTGTACTGTAGAATACCTTCTTGTTGGATTGAATTGATATACTGGTCATACCCAGTAAGTTTCAATCCTCTTTACTAATTGATTAACTCTTTGACGCAGATGGAACACCGGTGTCAGTTTTATAATTTTTTTTTTCTGACGCTCTAATTGCAAGCAAATATAAATTTCGTTATTTTTTATTTATAAAGAACAGTCTAATAGTAACTAAAAAATCTGTTAGATTATCGGAAATTTTATTCAGATATAAAATCCAAAAAAAGGTAGTTTCGAATTTCAAAAATTCATTTATATTCAAAAATTTATTAACAATTAATTTCGTAAATTGAAGAAATTTCAATGATGAATAGCTACTTTTCCGCAAATCAAAAACTGCAAATCAGCTAAAAGTTAAAAAATTATTTTTTGGAAGATTTTTCCTTTAACGCTGAAAAAAAAAAAACACTGGTGTTTAATGCTGTATTTCATAAATCATATATTATTAAGAAGCTAAGTATAATATTCTTCACCCATTTTGACTTAAATTATTGCAATATAATGAAAAAAGTATGAAAAATATGTTTAATAAAAATTCTGCATCAAAGAGTTAAGAATATTAATTGTTCTCGATTATTTGCCGGGTAATTTTAAACTACTCATAAAGTGCATGTATTTTTTTTTTAGTAGTAATCTAAAGATATTTATGTTCTCATGTGATTTACATAAATCTGTCAATTGCATAAAATAATTTTATAATATTTAATTTTATTTCACTTCGGTTTTGTTCGAATTCATCTAAATATTCTGTCCGTGCTGTGTGGATTAATCCAGGAACTATCCTTGATTTTGATGTAATGAAACACTTAGTGATACACCACTTCAGTGTAAAGTAGTTGCCAACATTTTGGTGTTCAGGTACGCGAAAATTTTTTACAGCGAAAATTTTAAAAGTAATTTTAAATGTGAAAGTATAATTAAAGAAACGTAATTTTTACTTTTATTTTCGTCATTTGTAACGAAAGTATTGTCATGAATATTCGTGACAAATGAAATTGACATGATTGACAACTATGTGCTCATATAAGTTTGATAAGTGCACTCAAATGTAATAATAAATTGTTTTCCATTAACTATATATGTTATTCTTGGAAGCTTATCCTATCGATCAAATGAATTCATGATCAGCAGCTTTGTATTCAATAACATGAATACATGATACGCTGCTCAAATAACATAAATATTTTCCGTTGTGCAGAATTTTGTCTGCGATTGATATATTGATATACTTATGTTCTATGAGATCAGTTTTGTTCAAATTCTGGATTTCATCATTTAAAAATACATAGTTTGAAAAGATGAAAAAATTTCTTTCAAAACTTTTCAAGAATTTTAAAATAATATTTTAATTTCAAAATATTTTTTCATCTTTGCATAAGCAAATTTTATAATTTTTGGCATTTCTTTCATCAATCCCGAACTATTTGATTGCCGCATGAAAGGTATTTCTAATAATCTCCCAAACAGTTTTTAAAATGTTCGGAAGGATTCAATTCTCAACGTAGAAAAATCTCGTCTTCGAAGAATAGGTTGCGTGGGGTATTAGGAAAATCAATTTCTACCTCAGCATCAAATAAGGGTTAGTGTCAGTATTAATTTCAATATAACTGTTTTAAATTTAGAAAATATCACAATCTGTAAATTTTCTAAGTAAATCTGTATTAGATTTAGAACTTTCTAATCTCATAAGAAGCTGTATATTTTTAAAACGTTGCGAAAAAGAGCATTTAAGAAAATATTAGTGTCAGGGGTTCTTTAATTTATCTGGGCAAAGAGCTACTCCAAACAACGCATTATTTTTTACACACTTCCAAGCAATACTAAAAAGAAAAAAAATGGGGGGGGGGGAAGCATCTTGAACCTGTTTTTCCTCCTCGAAGAAATTTCTAAAATTCCCTGCACCAAATTGAGTTGATGGGAATTTTTTTACGGATACTTGACGCGATATATTTAGCAGGGCTCGAATATTAATTACCCGACATGCTCAACACACGTAAAAATGACGACTGGGGCATGTATTTTTTTCACCTTTACTACATGACATGTAATTACTTAAACTGAAATACCGTAAAATACCCATTAAGTGGTATCTCATATTTTAAAGAAAATCTCCAAGGTGCTGGATGAGGTTGATAAATGGTATCAAAGAAAGAGATAAAAAAAAAGACAGAAAAAAAGAAAGAAAACTGATTATATTTGATTATCAGAAGAAAATTGCTTGTTTATACGTGATTAATACTTTTTTGTTATGTTCTTTGCTTACAGTACCTAATACTTCTTTGCTAACATTACTTAAATTATTTCCGATTTATACTTGAAATGAAAGTAGTAATGTAGACATAATATTAGTAATGATTTTTTTCAACATCTTAACCTTTACCTTACGGTTGGTACAACGTGTGGACCGTATGTGAAGGTAGAACATCGTACACCGTAAGCAAATGGTTAATAATAAGTGTTTTCATATGTTTCCGAGAAAAGATGTTTGTGCATTTAAAAGTTTCATTCGGACCTGAAGGGCACATCGTAGATAAAAAGCGCATGTGAAAATGTTATCCCTGTTATCGAATAATAACTTTAAATATAATAAATGTATTGCTTTATACGGAAGCATTTTTATCAAGATAAGAAATATATCTGGAGCGTGAGTCAATCAGATTTCACGAATGTGATATTTGTGTTCAGCATGTTAAACTCATTCAGGATTGAATACTCTCACATAAGAAGCAATTCCATTGTTATTTATTTTGGTTATTCCTGATAAAAATCTCAATTTAAGAAGAGTATTTCGACTTACTCCGCTTGGGTGTCTGGCTGAAAACCTATGTCTAAAACATATTAATTTAGTATTTTGAAAGTTATCATATTTGAGTTATTTTAAAATTATTCATGAAGTGATTGATTTAAAATATATTTTCTTGCATCTTTAATGTTTGGAGTCAGTAAAAAAATCTTTATTTGTTGATGATGAAAAACAGGGTTATGGGGAAAAAAATCTAACAAATATTTTACTTATTATAATCAAGGTGAAAAATAAATTTTATAAAAGGTCTTTCGTATTGTCACTAGCAAACCAATTTTTTAATAATCTTAAGTTCTAATGTACTTCAAACACTGGACAAAAGATTAGACATTCCTAGATAAGAAGAATAATTTAACACCTTTTAATTCCGCCTCTGAGTTTAATTATTGCCTAAGAAGTGAGTCATTTTTCCAGTTTGTCGCATTCAGTGATAGCCAACTCACTTAGGATTTGATCAAATTTGTGGCCATTTTAGTAGCTGTCCCAACATGCTCTGCAGATTTTCTATGGAATTCAAGTCAAGTGTTTTTGCCGGCCAATCGAGACTCAGATTCATAACAACAGTCATATATTTTTTCACCCAGATAAACTTTGTTGATGTTATATGCATAAAAAAAATAGGGGCACCAACATTATACTCATTATGAAGGTGTTACTCATTATTATGAAGCATACACCTGATCATCCAGATTAAAAACACGAACAAAGCTGATTCATGCTAGTACTCACCTAATTCATGCTAGTAGTCTTAAGGTGACAAATTTTTTGTCCGCTTTCGGGATAATTCAAATTCAAATTTTCATTTTTTTTTCTTTGTCTGTTAAACTCGTTTACAACAATTGAGAAAGGAACGCAAATGTATTCTCGTTATAATCGAGTGCTGGTAAAAAACGGGTTCAACAAAAAACCATAATAGTTTATACAAACTTATTAAAGATATCATATTTTATTAATTTTTTTATTTCTGTACAATAGAAAAAAGTTAGTTATTTTGCTTTGAACTTTCTTAGTGACTCATAAATGCGTTATTGTTCATCGGATAAGACTCATTATTGGAAAAAAAATCGTCATTTGAATCCCTGCTTTCAAAAAAAGTTCACGTATTCGCTGTATTAATTACTCATCACTTACATCTGCCTTGAACTTTCTTAGTGTCTCGTAAATGTGTTATTTATTCATCGGATAAAACTCATCGCTGGAAAAACATCGTCTTTGGAACCCTGCTTTCGAAAAAAGTTCACGGTTCACTTCAAAACGGTTCAACTTCTTCGAATTTTATATTTTAGTACAAATAAATTTCCAATAATATGACAGATATTTTAGCAACTACTAGACTGTTTTTTATAATAAAAAATACTAAACTATATTTTTTTCTAGTAATTAGAACGTCCAATATATATATATATATATATATATATATATATATATA